ATTCCCTACTTATGATTGGCACTGAAGTACAGCGGATGATGAAACAAGGATTAGCAACTCTCGACAAAAATCAACAACGAAAACGGTAAAACGCTCATGGAGAGGCAGCTTATCGTATTGTCAGGAACAAGGATAACTAGATTTCTTCTCACTAATGAGTCTATTGAAGTGTTTGAATATTGTAAACATTTTCTAGCCTTTATGATAGTTCGTTACCTGAGATCATCACGCATGCGAATACGATCTTGAAACGCAGAGTTTTTGCAGTAGTTTGGTGTCGATCAAGCTTTTTCGGAAAATACCTTTCACTGTACATTCTCATTGTTGAAAACATTTTTTCCATACATAATCTGCAGGTTTCGCTTCACCTTTGCTGCTATCTGGTGGTTGAGCTGTTCTGCTAAGATGGCTACCATTTTGAACAAAAAATATCCGCTTTAGAGCCGCCGGAGTCGAGTCGAGGGTGGTTCAGCGACTTGATTACACCGAAGATGCTGTGAAGTGGGCCGATGCTGTATTGACTGCAGGTGGTGATGGGACATTCCTCTTGGCTTCTTCACGCATTCGCCAGAGAGATATACCCGTAATAGGCATAAATACTGATCCTCAAGGGTGTGATCATACATTGATATTTATGTTAATGTTTTTATTGACTACTGCTTTTAGATCTGAAGGATACATGTGTTTGATGAGAAAACTGCCGATGGAGCATTTCAAATCAGCACTGCAGCGATTATTCAATGGGGATTTTAGGTACACTTCATGGTTGCTTTTGCCTTTTTTCCTATTATCTTTTCAGTTGGCTATTTCGACAGCGTATTCGCATAATTTTGAGTGGCGAAGCTCAACAGGGAATTGGTGACTCCATTGAGTTAAACGACGGCCAGTTGAATCAGATTCCAGCCACTACGCGATGGATGGACGCTCAAAATACTCGCAGTCCCCCTGCTCCTTTTCCCTCCTCTTCTCAACAACCAAGTTCTCATCAGAATGATTTCAGTGAGAACTTAAACGAGCTCAAGAAGTTGAAGTAAGTTCTTGGCAGTAGACGTTTTGACTAATATGTAGACGTTTTAACTAATATCTGTGCGAACGAAATGCATGTTTTTGACCGAAAATTATTTAATTGACCAGAACAAAGATTTGGGGGCCCTCTCTTTCCATTGTCCTATCAGCTTGCGCAGCCTCAGCACCAGAGATGTGCTTCACATTTAAATTTTACTGGCTATCTTCTTTCACGTTGAGTTTGCAATTTAAGACATGAAGCTCAAATGCAGATTTTCGACGAAGTACATTACCTGCACGCCACTGGCTATAAGTACGACCTGTCTTTGCTCTTTTCCAACTCATTGCGCCTTTTTGGGTATCTCATCGATGTCCCCTCCTCCCTTTCCCCCCCGCTCCTCCGTACTGCCTTCTTTCCCATATCTGCTTTACAAATGCCGCCAATGAAGAGAAGCGAAAAAGGAGCGTTTAGAGTCGCAGGGCTTTTATTCGTAGGATTGTGGAAAGGTTGCTGGGTAGATAACAGATATTTGTTAAACAGTATTGCGTATCCGGTTTGCTGGAACTATAGTTCTAAGGAAATTATTGCAGAGAAAATTCGCCACAGGAGAAGGTGACTGTGCAACTGCCAGTACTAGCGTTGAATGAAGTGTTCATAGGAGAAAGTTTGTCATCACGGGTGTCATATTACGAGATACAAATCGACAACAGTGCGCTGGTAAAACAGAAGAGCAGTGGGATTGCTGTCTGTACGGGTGCGCTGACAGTTTCACCATGCATACCTAATCTAGTTTTAGTACAAGCTTAGAGTTTTTGAAGGGACCGGCTCTACATCCTGGTATTTTAATATAAACAAGCTGACTGATCAGTGTGTTTCTGAACTACTTCGTATAGCATCGGAGCGCTGTAAGGTATATTTTTGAATAGACATAATATAGTTTAACTTTTAATCAGAGGGGAATTTAGGTCAGCTTGCCAGTAGACAGCGAACAAGTTATCAGCGACATATGCACAAAGTTCAACCAGCAGCTGATATTTTCGCCTGATTCAAAAAGTGAGTTATTTGAGGCTCTAGTAATGCTTTGAGGCTTTTCGTTTAGGGATGGCGTTCACTGTGCGCGATCCCATCTTCAATGCAACGTTCCCACCTACAACTCCTCGCGGCTTTGCAAAAAGATTAGTCGTGAAAAGCCGTGGTTATGATGCGCATTTGGTATGACCCTAATTTCCTCTCCTTCTTCTCCGAACCTTCTGCGAAGAATAGATTTGTCTACGCGTCTAGGTTGTGGACGGAGGTGTATCCTATCGGTTCAATGATGGAGCCGAAGCTGTGCTAGAAGTTTATGAGGAGGATGCTTTACGTACAGTCATATTTAGGTAATCGCACGGATTTTCATGGGTGCATTCTCTACTTTAGATTAATGTGTTAAGTAGTTCTCAGACATTAATTGTAGAACTGGTGTTTATTTCTTTTGTCCTGTTTTATTTAATTGTATGTTGCAGTTTAAGTGTGTAAAAAGCTCTTCACTTATATTTCATGGTAATCACATGTTCCAACTGTTTTGTTATTATTCAAATGTTGCGCACTAATTTTGTCCTTACAATGTTGAAGATCTAATGAGTTTATCTTCTTCAATACGTCTTCTTTTCGTCTTATCGAAATGGTAAATTTAAGAGCATACGATTTCGGTTCTCAAAATCGACTTTTAAAAAAAAATTTTATTTTTAAAAGGAGTACCCTACCATGGTTGTTCCATTCTCAGTCAGACTGAATTCAATTTTGTCATAATGATGAAGTTTATTGTATAGTTTTAAAGGTTGTAAATATAAATTTTAAAATTCGATCTACTTGGACGTATACTCAGTTGTACG